GCTAACGCGGGGGGCGCCCGGAGCCCCGGGGCGCGGCAGGCATGGTGTCCCAGGTGCTGCAGCTGCTCCGCCAGGGCGTGTGGGCCGCGCTCACCGGGGGCTGGTACTACGACCCCGAGCACAGCAGGTTCACCAACAGCTGCCACCTCTACCTGTGGCTGTTCCTGCTGCTGCTGCCGGTGGCCGTGCACCTGGTGAGTGGGGCCGGAGCGCAGGTGCGGAAACGCTGCCCGGACCTGCGAGTCTGCGCCTGCCGGGGAGGCTGGGCCGGCCCCCTTCGAGGTGGGATGGGGAGGTGGGATGGGGAGGTCCTCGGGAATTTGGGACAGGGGAAGTGCAGGAAAAGGGGGCGGGGACTCGCCATTGGCGGAGAAGCAGAAAGGACTTTAGGGGCTCAGGGACTCATTATGAATTGATGCAGGCTGTGAGCATGAGTCAGACTCTGCCTGTCACTGGGGAAAGTCGAACCTATTTTGTAGGGGGACAGTCCTGGCCTCCCGGCTGGTGAGCTCGGGGTAACATGGTGCGTGGTAGCCGAAAGGAAGAAGGAAATGTTCAAAGCGAACCTATTTCAGTCGTCGATCTTTCCACGCGCCCCTCCTCCCTTCTGGTTTTGCTTCGAGAAGCGGGTTCAATTATCAGTTATTCGGCTTGCAGTTTCCACACCACTGTGTAAGGGAATCTCTATAATAATGGGCAAATCTAATGTAGTTTATGCCGAGCAAAATATTACAGCACCTGGTTGAGGCTTGCCACTGGAGGAGGGTGACCGTAATTGAGCGCCTGCTGAATAACTGCGTAGATGACCTTGTTAGTAAATTAGTTATACCTGATTTGAAAAGCTGTCCAGGTAAGGTGCTCCATGTCTTATTAACCTTTATGTGCCAAGACTCTAATTCTGATATGTCTATTGAAGATTTTACTCTGAAAACATAATTCGGCCGTGTTCTCCAGGGCAGAGGTCTTCGACAAGCTCGCAGGGCTGAGGGACTCGGAGTGTGACGTTAGAGGCTGTCTGTGATTTGGCATCATTTCCTCTGTTTCTGGCAGTTCATACAGAGGGGCGGAATTCTGGCTCTGGTTAAATTTTGGGTCCACCTCTTACCAGTTCCGTTGTTACTTATCCTGTCTGATTTTTTCAGATTCTTCTCTGTAAAACGAGGAAGATAATCCCCCAGGTGCACAGTGTTGTTCGGGGGCTTAAATGAGATACTGCGGGCAAAGCCATCCACCTGTCCGGCTTGACCTGGGTTAAGTTTCTGGTTTGCTCCTTTTAGCTGTTTGACCTGCAAATTGGCCTATCTAAACCTTAGTTTTGCGGGCAAAGCCATCCACCTGTCCGGCTTGACCTGCGTTAAGTTTCTGATTTTAGCTATTTGACCTGAAAATTGGCCTGTCTAAACCTTAGTTCCCTCATCCTTAAAATAGATGTGATGATGACCGTTTCATGGGAAAAATAAATGAAATTTCCTATAAAAAGTACTTACTATGGAGGCTCTTTAATATGTACAAGTTTCTTTCTTCTTTCGTGACCTTGTCCATCATTGTTCCTCAGCCATAGGTCCCCGTGTTTTCTCTTTGCCCAGAGAAAACAACATGGCAGTGACGAGGGACACGAGGTTCCAGCCAGGTTCTTCTGCTAACTCGTTGTGTGAGGCTGAGCCAGCTTCGGCTTCCCGGTTTGTAAAGCAGGGTCCACGGTGGATTGAATGAATGAATAAAGTGCTTCTCGCAGAAGCTGGTGCTTAGTGGCGGCTGGATATGAGCTGGCCTTGTTTTTTCCTTTCCTGTTATTCGCTTGCTAAAATCTCTCTGTCCCCGAAAGCTGATGGCGCGGCCGTCTGTCTGGGCGTCCCCGGTTCCATTCAGCTGGGGTTAGTTTCTCTTCTCCCTCGCCCTGTGCTGGTCTGGACTTGCTGTCAGCATGCCAGCTCTTTGCGAATCCATCCTCGGACTTAGCTCTCAGGACATGGATTGTGCCTCTGCTCATTCGCAGATGAGCTTTCTGAGGATATGGGTTTTGCTTCTGTCGATTCATCTTGGTTTTCCTCATGGTACCCAGCTGCGTGCCCTCCAATTGGTCAGCACTGAGCTCGTGTGTGCTAAACCAGGAGAAGTAAAATCAGCCTGCATCGCCCTCTGTTCCAGCCAGCGTTGTATTGTCCTCATTGCTGTATACTTTGCGTATTTCCTCATAATGACAATAACATGTATATTCCATTTAGAATCTCACTCCTCAGCAGTAACCACACTAATAAAAATGTGTATTTCTACAGATGTCTTTTTCCTATATATATACGGGCTCGTTTTTACATAACTACACTTCAGATTTGATGCACACAGATATTCGGAACCCTTAAATTCTACATAATTACGCTTTATTACGTAGCTTGAGTTCTACTTTATATTGTAAATAGGAAGTCATTCTTAGTTAAGTTCTTCTTTAGTGAGATTTTAAAATTTTTGGCAAAATCTCAAGAGTTTAGGAAGTAAAAAACTGATTTCTTAAATTCTGCTTTTCTATTGCATTTTTTGGATCAAAAACAGTTATACTAAAATGTTTATATCTTTATGCCGTGTGCTTTTAACTATTATAGATAATTTTATGTAGGTGCATTTGTCATTGTGCTGTTTTTTAATATATAGCCTATCTTACTTTTTTAAAAAAATGCGGGTTAACCTTTCTCGTTTTCTTGCTCTGATCGTCTGGTCTCTGAAAATGATCTTAGAAATAGAAGAACCCCCACCACCACCACCACCACCACCAACCGAAGGTTCTGCTCGCTTGGTCTTGCTACTTAAATATATTCTTCTGCCTTCGGAGTTGCCTGTGAATGTTAACAGCTTTTTCAGTTTGTTTGATTTGTCAGAACTCGGTCCAAAAATAACACCTGGCTGCTCACCGATGGCGGGGACTTACTCGAAGTTCTGTAATTTCAGGGGCTCAGAACTTTCCTGGATTATGGACAATTTCAACCAAAACATGTTCAGTCGAGATAGTTCCACTGTAGGGAGAATCCACCTTGTAATTTAGTGGAGGCTGTGACTACGTCAACCAAAATTTTATGGTCATCTCCAAGCCCTAGAGTTTACTTAGTTCTAGTTGATGGTGTGGAAAGTTATGTATTAGCATTGATAAACTATTTGTATATTTATGATAAATGCTCAAAAATACACACCCCAAAACATGAAGCCAGTTTGGATAATGTGGGAAGAATTTTACAGTGATTTATCATCAACTTTTTTCTTGTGGATGGACTGAAAGAGACATTCGTCCTCAGAGACATTTAAACTTTCACTCGTCACTCATGTGCTCGTTCCTGTTCTCTGAGACGAGTGAGTGTGATCCACGTGCAGCCTTGTGACGGGGCACCGGGCAGGGGTCTGACCCTGCGTGAGTTCTGACGGCACCAGGCTCACGCTTATCCGTGTGTGACCTCGCACGAGCCACGCTGCTTCTCCAGACCTCAGTTTTGTCACCCGTAAAACAGGGATAACAGATTTCACTTTCTAGATTTAGCAACTGAGGTCTTGAGAGAGTGCCAGCCAGTGGCTGTCTAGAGGGTGGGTGGCAGAGGCCAGAACTGAGCGGAGGTCCTGAGGTGTCTGCGTCCCGGACCCCGTGGGGTCGGCACCCTGGACCTTTCCCTGACACCGCGCTGCCCGATGGGGTGCGAACTCCCAGAAGTGAGCTGGCATCTGATGGGCCTGGTGGCACCACGGTCCCCCGAGTGGAGGAAGAACCGAGCCCTGGAATAGGGGGCGGAAGCCGAGACCCCACGCAGGCAGCATCCCGTTGGGATTTCACGCAGGAAAACCGCGTTTTCTCTTACATTTTCCTTCCAGCCAGACTCGCTGTTTCCAGGAGGGACTTCAGCCTTAGAGCCTTGCTTTGGTGAGAACAATTTCATTTCTGGTTGCTGGCTTTACGACGGACCGGGATGGCCTGTCACAGGCGAGCATAGCACTCTGCGTACTCGCTGTCATTGTCACTCCGCAGGTGACTCTCCTGTTATAGTTTGTAGCCACGCCTCACTTGGGTAGGTAGCTGTTTTTCGGGTTTTGTATTTTGTTGGTCACCCCTCCAGGGGGCTGGCCCCAAAGGCACTTTCTCCTGGCTCAGGACTGGGGAGCTGGACGTCAGCCGCCATTTGACCCCATCGGCCAGATGCCTCCGTGTCACCTCTGGTCCTGGTCAGTCCCAGCGTTGATTTCAGTTTCTTTGGAAGAAAGGCTTTTTCTGCTGGTGAATCACATGGTCCCTCCTTTCTTTCTCTGGACTTGTTATCTGGCCCTTCCGCCTCTGGAAGCCAAATTTATTCTCCTGCTGAGATGCGTGATCCTTTGCATTTTCCCCAGAATTCACTCGAATGCCCAAACTTCCTTCCTCCTGCCCCCACCTGCCCGAAACAGTGTGGGGTTCGCGGAGGGGCTGCGGCTTGGGGACACTTAGAGGCGCCCTTCCCTGGCCCTGGTCCCCCGTCGCCGTGCAGACCCAGGCCGTCCCTGTCTGGCTGCGTGTGCTGTGGCCTTCAGCACTGCCGCTGGGTGGCCGTTCGCTGCGTGTGCCCTGGGCGGCTTCGGCCAGTGCTGGCTGTCTTGGTGGAGACGCGTCCATGGGCGTGTCCGCCATCTCCCCGGCATCCCACCTACCGTCACCTTCAGCCTTTTTAAGTTCAAACCTCCTATCTCGAGTGACAACTGCCACCTTTCTGCAGAATCCCTCCTGTGTGTCCCGGCTTGCGCCGTTTAGACACGTGGACATCTGCGGACAGGTGGTGTTTTTCCCGTCTGTGGTGTTTTTCTGCCGGTGGCGGAGAACCAGATCCTGTCCGTCCTGGGATGTCGGCCTCAGGAGCACAGTCCCAGAATAACACTTTAAAAAAATGTTTCTTTCCGTTGGAGTATTGCAAGTTCACGACTAATTTTCTAACGGTTGAATTTCTGCCTCCCAGCCCGCCCCCAGTGCCCGTGGGGCTTTCTGCGGTTTTTCCCGGGCAGCGACCAGTTCCGTTCGGACGCTGCTGTCCCAGTCCTGCGGTGGCCCCTTCCCGTCGTGGTGTCTGATGCTCTGCGGCCGTGGTGTTCGTTCTCGTGTATGGAGGTTGGGCCTTATCAGGCGATTATTGTTTTCCGATTTGAACCGTTTGGTCTGAAAAGGCTACTTTTAAATATTACCAAGCGTATTCCCATT